TCAGATTCATAGGTAGAAAGTAAATGGTGGTTGCCAGAGGCAGCAGGGAGGGAGTAACTGTTCAATAGGTATAGTTTCAGTCACTCAAGATCAAAAAGTTCTAGAAATCTTCTGCACAACAATGTGAATATAATTAACAATACTATGTTGTACACTTAAAATTTTGTTAAAAAGGTCTACCTCATTGTGGTTTTCACGATTGAAAAAAAAAACTGTCCTATTTTCTAATTAAATCACTAAGTTTACTATGTAGCCAGACCTTGTTATCCTGTGGAAAATATAGGAGGAAAATCTAAAAATCTAATTTATAATAAACTTTTTTCAAAATAAACTAATAATGCATTGACAGCTCATCAGTGAGGTTTATAGTTTAGAAACATTTGTTAATTCATGATCTTGTTCATCAAAATGACCCTGTGAAATGTACATTGTTATTTCTGTTTCATAGGTAGTTTTGTTCCATTGTCTAAAGTCACTCGGCAAATAGAAGACAGAATCAGGATTTTTTAAAATAACAGCTTTATTGAGATATAATTCACATACCATAAACTCTACCCTTTTCAACAAAGTATACAATTCAGTGGATTTAGTTGATTGAGTTGTGCAACCATCAGCACTGATTCTAGAACATTTTTATTTTCCCCCAAAGACCTATTTAGCAGTCACTCCCCATTTTCCCCTTTTCCCAGGCTCTGGCAACCACCCATCTATCTTCTGTCTCTATAAACTTGCCTTTTCTGGACATTTTAGGTATGTAGAAACATACAATGTATGACCTTCTATGTCCGGATTCCACCACCTGGCATGTTTTCAAGGTTCACCATGGTATAGCACCTATCAGTACTTCATTCCTTTTTATGGCTGGATAATATTCCATTGTATGGCTGTACCCATTTTGTTTACTCCGTTCGTCAGTTGGTAGACATGTGGTTTGTTCAGTTTCTTTAGCTGATATGAATAATGCTGCTGTACATATTTGTGAGTTTTTGTTTTTCAGGTAATAGGAATTGAACCCAAAGGCCCTCTACCAATGAACTACCATCCCTAGCCCTTCTTATTTTTTTACTTTGAGACAGGATCTCACTAAGTTGCCCAGGCTGGACTCAAACTTGCAACCCTCCTGCCTCAGCCTCCTGAGTCACTGGGATTACAGGCACGTACCACCACCCCACCTCGCCTGTGTGTAAATTTTGTGTGATCATTTCTCTGGAGTATATATTCAGGTATGGAAAGAACCAGATGTGAACACAGGTCACTTCAGTCCAATCTGATATGAAATTATTCCAAATGGCACCAGAGTCAAGGAGCTGAAAAGACCACTGCACTGACCTAGAGATAGGGTCACCCGAATATTGGGCGCCACGGTCACTCACGAGCTGTGTGCACAGCCTCTCAGAACATTCAGTGATTGCCCCAGAGTGATCTCTGGAGTCCTTTCCAACTCTAAAACAATTCTATGGTGGTGGACATTCAGTTGAAAATTTTTAGAAAAGCAGAAACAGTTACCACCGAGTTCATGGGCCTCAGTGCTAAGGTTTTTAACCAGACACCCAAAAGCAACAGAATAAAACTACTGATGTGAAACTGACAACCCGCTGTGACAGTGCCCACAGGAAAGGCCACACTCCCTCCAGCCCTCTCTCTCCTTGTGGGTAATGAGGGTCTAACCAATGCAATCATCCCAGCTTGGAAAAAAGCCGGAGCAGAGAGAGGGGGCCTGGGGCTCCTCTGGGGACAGAGCCCTCAGTGTTGTCATCTGCTGCCTCCACACATTCCTGAGGGAGGGCACAAAAACACACAGTGGCGCAGCAGCCGGCTGCTAGCTCTCCGGAGGGCACTTCACTGTCCCCTTTAGGCTGAAGCTGCCAAAAAGCACTTGCCCTGGGAGCAGAAAGAGCCGTGTCTGCACGGGATACCGCCAGGGGGCTCCGGGCAGGAAATCAGCAGCAGGGTTTCTTGACCTGTCCTCTTCCCACCCTCCTCACGAGGACTCCAGCCAAAACAACTCCCTACATAGGATGAGAGACTGTGAAAATATTTACTTTAGTTGAGTTTATTAAAAAGAAAGAGAAGCCCAAGAGAAGAAATAACTCAGCTTCAAACTGAGATCCTGTGCCAAACATTTTGCCTCTTCAGTTTTCCCCTGGTAACGTCAAAGTTTGGAAGGGTGGTGTTCGTTTCTTTCGTGTTTGTTTGTTATGAGACAAATACAGTGATTTCCATAAGCCAGGAAAAGAAATCAATCCCATTTCTCTGTAAGCAGACCAAAAATTCTTCTACCTTGAACCCAAAAATCCATGTAAGGTGCACTCCCACCCAACCCCTAGCCCCCTCCTGGTGCAGGATTCTTCTGGAAGAGACCCTCAGCAAATGTGCCATGAGTTTCACTCATCCCAACAGAATCCTGCATCCTGACCAACAGGAACCAAAACTTTTATCCCTGCAGGCAGGAGGCGTATAATGCTGCTCTGAACAAGCAGGTTTGTTTCCTCCATACTCCTCTTTCTCCCCTTTTCTGTCCCTCTTGCTGCCTTTCTTTATCAGACCTTCTGCACATATTTCTTTTTCTGTCATACCTCTGTTACCCCCCTCCCTATAAATGACCTCATCTTTCTATTCTGGCCCCAGAGCCCCCACCAGTCAATTGGCCCAAAGTCAACAACTAGGACCATTTCCATCCAGTGCTTTCCTTCCCTCCTGAACTTCACAGGGAAAGGAGGCCACACCTTGCTCAAAGCCCCAGACTATAAGAAGCCTGCTAGGTCTTGGGAAGGGATGGGAAAGCCCAGGGCAGTTGAGATGCATCTTCTACTACTGTACCCCAGCTGCACGGAGACACTGAAGGCAGAAGTCTTCAAGCAGCAGCATCTGTTTAACCTTACTTTGTTTCATTGTGTTTCCTACATTTGTAAGTGGCATATGATCTAATATACACCGTGCTCCCCAGAGCACTGACAGAGCCCTGACATGGGCAATATCTCATTTAAACTTTATAACAATCCAAACTGGACTACAACATTTAGGCATCTTCCCCAAAGTCTAGAATCCAGTGAGCGCAGAGCTGGGAACTCAGAGCTCCGGGCTGCCAGTCCCCCAGCCACCTTCCTCAGAGGCAAAGACCCTCCAGTCTGACTCTCATTCTTCCTCAACTGTGAACTCCATCCCTCCCTGAACACCCCAAACCCTCCAGAGGGCCTAATTTCAGTCAATCTGGATCATGCTACAAACTCCTAGAAGACAATTCCAGACAAAGTTCAGAGACAGGGAAAGTCACCAAGACCCTGAGGAGTGAGGCACACAAAGAGAAGGGAAATGTATCATGGTAGAAAGTTCTAGAAATCTATGTCCAAGGTTTAAAAATTTATAAGTGGTGTACTTGCTTTTCTTTAAGACTATTAGACATTATTTATAGCCACCTGTTTTCAAAGCAGCATAAGTTTGACCCAAGAACAAATTAGATGCAACAGCCTATCCATACTGGGAATAATGAGGATGTAGTTTCAGCCTTACACATGAATACATATGACAGGGGGCATTCAGAAGTCTAGCACATTCCCTTGAATGTGCAAGACTTTAACAATCCCTGTTTTAGGGAAGTCCTAGAAAAATCAATTATTCTCACCATCCTACATGGTAGATCAGCAACAGGAGGGAACTAAACCTGAAAAATGTGCAAAAAGCCTGCACCTGCATAAGTTCCTACACTTTCTTCCACTTAAGAAATCCTGTGGGAATATTATAGAGATTATCACAAATTGACTCTAAATTATTTCTGAAAGGAAATCACAAATAGCAGTCCCTTTAATATCAATAATATTGCAACAGGTTTTGTAAATAAGAGGCACCGATATGGGGGGGGGGGGAGAAAAGCAGCCTCAACAAAAAGAATTTGGGAATAAACTGTTTCAAGTGATCCCAGGAAAATATCTCATATTATTTGAGTCAAGAGTGAAGTTTTTTAAGGAGGGCTCAAGTTTCATTTGTTAGAGCATTTTCCACTCCATCTGCGAATGCCTGACACGAATTTAAATTCAATATATTTTTAGTAAATAATTTAAAACGATCTTTTTTACTTTCAGCAAAGTAAATCTCTATATTTGCCCTCCTCAGTTCAAAGAATCACTGAATTTTAGAGTCAGGAAGAAATTGGAGGCATTCTGTTCAATGAACCAAACTAACAAACATTTTATCAAATAGTATGTGCACCTGGTCTGCTAAAGGCTGTGTATGGATGCTCTCATTCAATACAACCTCATGGGCTAATAACATTATCATCATTTGTTGAAGAGAAAAATAAGGTTCAGAGAGGTTAAGCTACTTACCTAAAGTCACCCAGCCAGTAAGAGACAGGACCTGAGCTGTGACCAGTTCTGTCTGATCCTAAAGTCAAATACTTCCTGAGGCCTAGGTGATTTGCTGGCATTTATTGTCCTGCCATTTCTGAATACTTTCCCCCACCCTAACTAAAGAGCTAGCACCAGGGAGAGCCATCACTTCCGGTAGCCAGGAGCTCTCTAAACTGGAGGGACATTATTCTCTCCTGGGAAGAGCCTGATTCTCCACCAAGTCCACCACATGCATCTGCATCAGGCTGTGGGAAAGGCAGACTCTGGAACAAAGCTGCTCAAGAACAACAATAGCCCAGCATGGATTTGGATCATTTCTGAGAATGACTTTCACAACTCAGCCTGACCTACTTCCTGTCCCTTCTTGACTGCGTCAATTGCCATCCTATCTTTCATAATGAGCAATTTCTCAGAACTCTTGTCTAACAAATACCTGTAGGTGCCCCCTCTCCTCTAGAAGGTGTCTTGGCATACTAATTCTCCAAACTCCGTCTAACTCCTTGAAAAGTCCTTCTTCCCATTTCACCCCAACACCCTCTATTTTGATGTTCTTTGAAGTTTCCTTTGCTTTTCTTCAGAAATCATCCAGAAAGAAAGAAAGAAAGAAAGAAAGAAAGAAAGAAATCATCCAAAAAGGTACATAGGACGATCTACCTTCTCCTGCAGATTGAAGAAATCAGATCAGATGCGTTGGGTTGGCAAAGCAGCATTCCAGGCCATTTGCAGCTGATGACGGTCCCTTTCAATATGTCTGTGGAGAACACCCTCCAGTGTGTCCCTAGCATCTGGCTTCTTGTAACCGCCAGATGCTGAGGGAGGACTGAGGCTGAGGAAGTATTTGTTGGAGCTCAGGAGGTCATCACCAATGCCTATCTGTTTCCTCCTGGTATCAGCCCCGAGCCCAACTGTCACTGTTGGGCTCAATTTTCCTCATGCCTCAGGAACACATCTGGATTCCCAAGAACACCCTAGCCTTTGCATAAGACCGAATTTAGTCTTTTATGCCTCTGACTTTTTGCTCTGTAACAATACTGCATAATCCAGAGAAAGAATGTCTTAATGTCGGTATCTGTGTGGTTTCATTGGCTGTTTCCCAAATAAGGAATTCTCAGATTCCCCACAGTGCCAGATTCCTCCAGAGCGATACAACTAGACTGGAGCTACACTTGAAAAACCCTAGTCTTGTTTTGTGTGGTTGGAGGAGTGCAATCCAGTTACCCGAACTGCTCCCCCAGGATGCATACGGTGGAAACAAAGTCAGGCAGACCAGTGTGTAAAAACTCATTGTGGAGAATTCTCTTAAAGGTTTACTATGCTATGACAATGTTTCAAATATCATTCCTACAGAAGTTTTCCCTTTAAAAGGAAAAGTAAATGTTTGAAACAGAAAGGAAACAAGACGTCAAGGAAAATGAAAAGCCTCACTTCATTTTAGGTCATGGAGAAGTAACCAGTCCACATGAGCTATACTATTAACACTTATGTTGTACAGTCCATAATGTTCCATCCAAACCTGTGGTATTTAGGTAAGCTATGCAACAGGAAATACCATTTGTAAAATATTAAGCCACAGCATAATCTCCCCATGCCTTGTAATACTATCGGCTCTGATTCCAGCTCAGCTGCCCACCCTGCCTCTCCCCTGTGGCAGTTAACCTTCATTTTTCTGGCATTGAATTTGGGTCCTGGTTATTTCTTTAAGCTTATTTTATAATCTGTTAATTTCCTACATTTTGGGAGGAATGACAGAGGTTCTCTCTTTGACCAGACTCTAGGCAGGATCAGAGCCTCCTTCTTAAACAGGCCTGTCGACTCTGACCTATAAAGCCTTGAACAAGAACAAACATGGCTTCTTATGGTTCAAGGCTGCATCCCTCCAATGATACTGGCCTCCCTTAAAGTGCCTGCTTGACAAAACTCAAGGCTGCCTGAAGAGTTTACTGTTTGTTTCAGCCCACACCTGAAGGTAGGGTTCCCGTTTTCCAGGCTTGATGGGAGGGTAGAAGCCAACTTTGATAAACACCAGTTTGCAAACTTAAATGGGTTTCACTTGGACCAATGCCCTTCCCATGTTGTGTAATTTTTTCACTTCCTGACTCTACAGGGCTCAATCTCCCTTCAGAAGTCTCAGTCATTTCTATACAAATTAAGTTCAGTTCATGCTGGACTCTTTCCCCTAATGCAATAGTTATCACCAATGAAAATCTATCCTCAGCATTTTAAGGTCCCGCTGTTTATCTCTGACAACAGTATGAACAGATACCAAGCCAAAGATGAGAAGTTGGCCATCTGCAACCTTGGCCAAACTCGACCATTTTGGCACCCTGATCTCAGACACCCAGCTCCAGAACTATGAGAAATGAATCTCTTGTTTATAAGTCACCCAGTCCTTGAAGACAGCATCTTCCAAAATGGAGAGAAGTTAATAGGGTAGGGAAAAAAGACCCAGTGTCACATGCAATTGAGAATTCCTGGTTTAAAAGATTGACAGGTCTCTTCATGGCTACCCTCTGCACAGCCTATAGGATACTAATGTGCTTGAGAGCCTTGAGGAGGAGGAGGGAGCTTTCCTCATAACATACATGGCAGGTGTGGAACACAGAACTAGAGAACACACAATACACCCTTAAATCCAGATACCTCGGCCTTTTCATTCTGTTGCCGGCTTCTCTTCCATGACCTGGAGGATCAGCTCTGGGGCCCCTAGTGGCTTCGTTGAGTTGGCAGGTTCTCAGCATAGCTCCCTGGACTAGCAGCAGCCACAGGCTGTTTCCCTGGTATACCAGCAGTCCTCATGGGGGAGGCCCAGGCAGGGGAGCAAAGAGGGCCAGGCTAGGGTCAGCCTCTCATCCGCATTTAAGTGAGTGGCACAGACCTCTTGGCTGTCTGTCAGGCAGGCTGCATGACCAAGTTTTATCCAGGTTATGAAGGAGGGAGTCAGATTAACTGGGGGCCTTTCCTAAGCTGGACCCAGTGCTGGGACCCAAGGCTCGACCAGCCTCTGCCTGGCCTGCAGCTCTGCTCTTCATTCACAACACCATACCCTAGGACTTGTGGGTGGCAAGACAGGCATTTTGAATCCCAAGTAAGAAGAGCCCTGCTCTGTGGGATTCTGACCTCTAGTTATAGCAATGGCTCAACCCACAAAGGCAGAAGAGCATGGAGGTCAAGTGCTACAGGCTGTCATGTCAAAGTCACCTGGCTTCTCATCCTGGTTTCTGGAATCACTACCTCTGGGACATGTTGCTAAGTGTCTTTTGGCCTTCATTTCCTCAATCTATAATGTGAAAATAAAGAGTCTAATTCATAAGGGCCAAATAAGTAACTTGCCACATAGTAGGTTCCCCAAAAAATGGCAACATAATGCTTACAAGCATGAGGTTTCCAAATCTGCATCATCATAGCTCCAAGGCCAGGGCCTGAGCAGCAGGCAATACCAAGCTTGAGAGGTCGCCAGCGAGAGTCCCAGGGCTTGTGTTTGACCCTGAAAGGTCTCTCATTTTCCAGCAAGAGAAAATCAAAGTGCAATCCTGGCATGTGCTGACCTGGGTTGTGATATGAAAAGCACAAGTTAATAAGCAAGTCAGCACAGCAGCTGGAGACATCAAAAATAATCAGGAAAGAAAGATTAAAAGTGACATGGCCCTTCATACATGCAGCTGATGACTTACTTTAAGGTTATAACCTGAAAACCTGGGTCCATGCTTGTCACCCACAAACCAAGACTTAACATCACTCTCTACCAGCGATTTGCTTTCCAGGGGACATATGGAAGTGCCTAGAGACACTTTGGGTTGTCATAGCCATGGGTGTGGGATGCTACTGGCATCTTGTAGACAGAGGCCAGAGATGCTGCTAACACCCTATAGTGAGTGCATTGGACACACAGGGCAAAGAATTATTCCTCTGGAAACATCAGTAGTGCTTAAGTTGAGAAACCTGCTCTAGGGTCAGGGAGCTGGGAATGTGGCAGGACTGGGGTGCAGCCTTCCGCACTGGTCTACTTTGCAGACAATGCTTTGGAAACCTCGGTTTGGCAATGTGCCTCGGATCACACAACCAGAAAATGGTTCTGTCAGAATTGGTCCCTGACTCAGATCCCAAATCTCATGATCTTCCCACAACACCACACTAACAACCAGGGCAGAAATCAGCATAGGACAAGAGGATAAAGGGATATTTTAAAAGAGGACTCAAAGGATTTAAAGGAAAGGGGGCAGGTGGAATCTGGCACTCAGAACAGCAGAGCCCTAGAACAGATACAAGACACAGGAACGTTTAAGAGGAACCGGGGGCTAGCAGAGAGAGTCAGGGGTCTTTCTGGGCTAAGTGAGAGCTGAATGCAAGAGAGAAAGAGAAAAGCCACAGGGCTTCAGAGCTGAGGGCTGAGCCAATTTATAGAAGGAGGCAATGAAAAGGAGTGACACACCCAGGAAGCCCAAAGTAAACCCAGGAGACAGAGACCCCAAAGCTGGAAAGAGCTTCTTCCTGGGGTGCTGAAGGAGTGCAGAGGACAGGAACAATACAGACAGGAAGACTTTGGAGTTTGGGGATTTGGTCGGTAAAGACAAGGGTCGGGGCCAATTTCAGCAGCTGAGCCAGGCTGCCAATCTGGAAGAAAGGGAACATGTTGCCCACTCGCCCTACATGGAGGCCAAGCTGCTGCCCACCCACGTCACCACCCAGACCCTAGGTTTTTGCAGTGTGATACTGTGTTGTTTCCTGGGTGGACTGGTCTCTGGCAGCCCTTCATACCCTACCTACTTTCTGGTTTCAGAGGCAGCACAGAAAGGACCCCAGGGCTTCCCACTCTCCAGAAAATTCAGCCCACTCCTGGCTGGAAGGAGGCAGACAAGCAAGCCTTCGTTCCAGCGAGGGCCTGCAAACAAGGTCTGCTTTCAGAGCTGCTTCTGGCATTTGTGTTCCGTGGGTTCCTCAGTGGAAAGAGCAAGGCACTCAGAGAGAGAAATGAGAGAGGGCATTATCCCCACAACGGTCCTGGAGAGCTGGGCTGTGGTTACTAGAGGTGGTTCCAGGACTTTTATTCTGAATTCTCCAAGGAAACCATCAAAATGATGTGAGATAAAGTTAGCTGATGGTAGCCTGGCTCAGATCACACAACTTAAACATGTGAATCTCCTTCCTTCTCCCAGGAGGCCCAACTGCTCCTCCTGAAGATAAGTAGAAAGTCTTGGAAGTTTTAAAAACTTTAAAGAGGATCTCTCTCTCTAGACTTAAATATTTAGTGGGAGGCGGGGGATGGGGGGGGAATCACTCAAATCAAACATTTTGCTATGAAAATTGGTCAAATAATTTATCTTAATTATCATGTAATAACCTTTAGTGTTTGAAGGAAGGCAAGTTGCTCAATAGCCCAAAAGAAATATTTAATGCTCTAAACTACAATTCCTTCCCATACACCAGACAAGCTGTGGTCAGTAGGAACAGCCCTTCTGACCTGATTGGGATTGTACCCTTATAAGAGGCCCTACAGAGCTTGTTCATTCCTATTGGGGGAGGACACCGTTAAGAAGGTATCATTTATTAAGCAGAGCAGGCCCTCACCAGACACCAAGTCTACAGTCACTTTGACCTTGAAATTCCCAACCTCCGCAACTATGAGCAATAAATGTCTGTTGTTCCTGAGCTGGCCAGTCTAAGGTATTTAGTTACACTAATCCACACAGACTGATAGTTTACCTTAATGGGTTCTTGCACATACTAAATAAAGCAACATCTGTGAAATGGCAGTGCGAGGGAGTGATCATAAACAGACTTATTACTATAGGTTCCTGCTTCTACAGTGTGTATAACCTGGTCAGAAAGACTAAAGAAAACAACAAATGAGAGATAAAACGTACCTTGCTAAATGCACTGGGAGACCGGGAGTGGCCAGCAACCCAGGCAACATGGCTCAAGGGCAGGGACAGCTTCAGAGGGAGGAAATGAACATCTGCTCCAGTAGAGAGACATGGGCAGCAAATCAGGCATTCAGGATTGAAACACTGCTCGTGTTTCTATTGATTTGGGTCATGTGCCACTTAACGCTGGTGTAAAAGAAGTTCTCCCACCTGGCTTTATTCACCCCAGTGAGCAGACACAAAATATCCACTCATGCACACATTTGTCATCACTAGGGCAGGTCTCCTCTCTGGCTGTCTGAACTGGGCCACAAGCCAACAGAGACAACCCGGGAGGTGATCAGGGCTGCACACATGCCCCCACATCAAATGTACTTTGGTATATCCATGGCCAGTCCTGGATGCTACTAACCACAAAGGTCACTGGGAAATGCCTACATCACTATAGCTACACAGGCTGAAGCTACTGAATTGCAGAGACAGGAGCAGGTTTGCTTCTGTCCTCTCCAGCCCCATGGACTTTCATGAATGTGTATAAATACTTAACAACTTGAGCGATCCCAAAATTAGGAGAGATTTTTTAAAATCACTGATTAAGGTTATGAAAGATCAGCATTTACTTAATGTCTTGGTCTCAAATGCAGACATGAGCACACAAAAAATAATATTCATATCTCTAAGTCCTCAGGGAGTGCTCGCAAAATACTTGTGAATTTTATTGCATCTCAGGGGCCACCAAAGGCTTCAAAAGAATTTTGCACATAAAGCAAAGTCTGATTGGAAACATGTAAGTGGGCACCAATGGTTGGATTTGCCACCTAGCACCCTCAGGGTTAGCTTATATTTAAACACACAGCTCTTGCTTGTATTCTCAGTCACAGATGCTTGAACATGTGGCAGACTGACGACCCCTTCCTCTGGGCTCTAGAAAACTCCCAACCTGCTTAGGAAGTCTGTTCTAAAGTCACCCTGGTTCCACCCTGGACACAGCCCTGCCCAGCATGGCCCACAGCTCCAATAGATCTATCAGAGCAAGCAGCTTGCCCTGTCTGAGGTGCTGACCACTCTATGCTACACACCTTCACTCCCCACCCCCCACACAGAGGCCCTCTTCCCATATTCCCCTCTCCACTGTGATAAGCACACAGATGTATGTCAGGTCTTGGAGCTGGAGTCGTAGCCCAGCATGTGGAAGCTTTGTTCCAGCTCTGCTTCTCCCTGGCTCTGGAAGTTCAAACAAGTCACTGCTAACAAGTGGTTTCCAAGGTCCCTTCAAAATCCCACAACCATGACGATTCATTCTCCCAAGATGGGGTCTGCAGAGAAGCGTATACCTCCCAGAAGTCTGCTTCCTGCCTAAACTCCTCAAGACTCCTGCAACCACACTGCAGGCCAGAGGCTTTCCAAAGATGCCAGGTCACAATATCACCTTGCCCCCATCCCATCAAGAAGGGATCCTGTTTCTCCTCTCCTTGAATCTAGGTAGATTTTGTCAACACTCTGACCAACACAATGTGGCAGAAGCAACAATTCCAATTAGGGGCAAAAGCATCAACTAACCCAGAGACCTCCCTTGCCTGCTTATTGGAGCCCTGAGAATCCCTGAAGAAGGCCAGGCTATTCTGCCAGGCAGAGAAGCCACATGGAACAGCCACATAGGGCAGCATTGTGGACATCCAGCCAGTTGAGCCTTCAGTGATTCTGATCCCTGTCACCATCTAACTGCAACAGCATGAGAAATTCAAAGCAAGACCCTCCCATTGAGGTTGTAGGAC